ATACTTGGTTCCACTTGGCTAAGTGGAACACTGTATGTTAGTCAGGAAGCCACTGCTTCCTGTATCACTACTTCCAATACCCGGAGTGACACGCCTCAGCTATACCAGAATTATTGGTATATTTCATCATCCTCCCTTAGATGATGCAGTCATTTCGGTTTACATGATAGGTGTATCCCCATAACTCGGATACGATATTCTTAACCTATCTCAATCACGTCCATTGACGTCTTGTCGATTCGATATCGTCGTCTTCGAATCTGAAGTTCTCGAGCGTCAAATTTTGCGTGAATCCCGCACGAAATATGTCAACTAATGGTTGGTTCCCTAACTCATCTATAAACATAGATATTCGTCGGGTTAACCCCTCTAGTACTTGCTGTTGAATTTTGTTATGGGAAGCTGCACGATTCAGGTGGGAGACTCGTCTTTGGTACGAGGGGCCGCTGATCAGCCAACAAGAATGAATCACATTAGGTGTCGCTACTACCTGGTGACGATGCATCAACCATGTCCTCAGTATGGCTTTGAATCCATCGTTTCCATTCTTTGGAACACTAGGACCATTGCATACAATTCGTTCATGATGCTCTTGTCGAGTTTGTCGAGTATTCGGAACCATCCAGGTCTGTCAAACTGATCGTTGGAGAGGAGACGATGGTATCCTATGTCTCCATCCTCGACGCAGTCACTGTCCAAGCATAAACAGGGTAGTCCGGAATCCCTGTAGTTGGTGATTGATAACATAGGCTGGAGACCACGGGACTATGGTTCGGTGTGCCCTCTTCGTTATGGGCTGTTGTTGAAAATCAGCCATGATCACTTCTTTCGCTTACTTTAGCTAGGGTCTGAGTCAAACTGGTCAAGAAGTAGGGCTCCCGCAGTACACGTCGATAAGAGAGAGGGAATACTGAAGAAAAACTTTGTGGGTCTCGTCGATTTCTGACTCCACACTTCAGTTATGGAATGGACATTTTCTCGACCTCTTTTCTCTTGGGGTACTATCCTTCTAGTGACGAAGGAAAAAGACCATAGCGATCACGTTTTCCACTTGTGATTCTACAGAGTCTCCGTAGAGTCGGGGACTCTGAGGCGCCAAGAAGTTTCGGCCTGAAGTTTCTTGTTTTCCTTCATCGCAACGCACGGGTAACGTCTTTTCTGAGCGTGGGAACTCAACGTAGTCACCGTTTTTCGGCGAGGCATCTCCATGGATCCCCGTCCTCTCCGCTGCATGACTGATCATTCTCAGTTTTGTCATCGCCGCGATCGGTTCGGTGGATCAGCCCCGATACTCAGTGCTTCTTCTGTGAGGTGTCGTTGTCCAGTATTGACTTCAAGATGTCAAATCCTCAGGAACAACAGATTGGTCCAGTGTTTCCAGAAACAAGTCTCGCCATTCCAAGAGTGGTTTCAGATAAGATTCAGCATTTCGAAAGTGAGTTTGACTTGTAGCACCAGATCGAGATCCGTATCGACAATGCTCTCAAGCACAAAGGGTTGAATGATAATTTCAAGCATATCTACACATGCCTTGAAAACACAGACAAGAATTTCCTCAATCTTGTCGAGCAGCTTAACCTCTTTGCGAAGAAGGTTTGTCCTAGAATCCCTGTGAAGGAATTGGTCGCTTCACTTGAAGAGATGCGCACCACGGTGAGGGAGCATCATGATCTCCTTGTGCGCAGCAATGCAACACAGGTAGGACTCGACCTCCGACAGGACGCTTTCTCATCTGATATGGCAACTCTCGAGCATATCAGACATCTGACAAGGGGAGTGCCGAACATGTAACACGCCGATCGGGCTGAAACTTCGGCCATAGAATCCCCGCCCCGAGAGAAGTTTAACCCTAGGAGGTTATCTGCGTATGGCCGCTTCAAGGGTGCTCTAATAATTATCGAAAACTCGCCCTTGAGCTTTGACTCTACGGGAATAATGGAAAATACTATGAACAATGGACGAATATGGGATCTGCCCGAGATATCCGAAAACATATATATGTTTTTAGATCGCCGGATCCGAATTTGACGCCAAGACGCCATCTTCATGAGTGGTATCGACTCCCAATTCCCTCGAAACAGCCAAATAATTTGAGCCAAATTTCTACATAAACGGATTGGAGCAATTTATTCTGACGAATTCAGCGTACGTGGTAGTCCACGAAAAAGCACTTCACACATAGATTCTGCTTGCAATGTATGCATTTTATGAACGGAATGCAAAAATCTGTTTGTAACTTGCACCAAGTCTGGGAAGTTGAACAAGGGACTGATGAAGATCTGGTGTCAGGAAATTCTAAAGGAAGTTCTGGATCGCACCCAAGTTGATCGATGTGTGCTTTATCTCGATTCCTGGGGCGGACAGCGAGATCAGAGCTTGTTCCGAATGTGGAAGAATTTCGCGAAGCGAATGACTCGAGCGTGTGGCTTAATCGGATGCCGCATCGACCGCCGCGATGATGTATTTCGACTCCCATCACTCATCTATAATCAGTTCCGGCACCCTGATTTCCGAAGTATGTAGTTGCACGGCTGGCACAAGTCCGGCTTCGATGTTCCGAAGATACCCTTCCTGAGTATCGCCGAGATGTTGTTCTCGGTCACCGATGTTTGTTTCGGTGATTCATGTCGCGGGATTCCGTTCATAAAATGCATACATTGCGAGCAGAATCCATGTGTGAAGTGCTTTTTCGTGCTGAATTCGTCAGAATAAATTGCTGCATTCCGTTTATAAAGGAATTTTGCTCTAATTATTTGGCTGTTTCGAGGGAATTGGGAGTCGGTACCACTCATGAAGATGGCGTCTCAGCGTCAAATTCGAATCCGGCGACCCAAAGACATATGTTTCCGGATATCTCGGGCAGATCCAATATTCGTCCATTGTTCATAGTATTTTCCATTATTCCCGTAGAGTCAATGCTTAAGGGCGAGTTCTCGATAATTATTTCAAAACCCTTAAAGTGGCCATACGCAGATAACCTCCAAGGGTGAAACTTCTCTCGGGGCGGGGATTCTATGGCCGAAGTTTCAGCCCGATCGGCGTGTTACATGTTCGGCACTCCCTCGTGAGCTGCGCTATCGCTGATATCCGAAAGGACAGCTACTTTGAACGAGAAGACACACTCGGTGTCGACTGAGACGAGACCAGCTTTATCCACCTCGGGGCAGGTCTCGACGAACCCCGTGATTGATTTCGAGCTGCAGACTCGTCTTCTCACCCTGGAGAACCTTGTGGTCAAAGTGGAACAAGATCTGAAGGCAGAGACTCAAACCAATACCACTCGAATCACCGATCTCGGAATCAAAGTCACGGAAATCATCTCCTTTGGGAAGTCCATGTGTCCATATCCACGCCCTGTGCGGTGACTGTGGATAGTCCGAATCTGAGTGAGGATCGCCTCGCTTTGCCCAGTCGAACTGTCGGAATTCGGTGGGAATTACATGGCCTGGAAGTGACCGGTACCCACGTGTGGCTAACGCTCCTCACTATTGCGGTTCTGAATCGCGAGAAACGAAGACACAAGGTTTGACTTCACCGAGAGAGTGCGCTGCGCAAGGTTATCCGACTGGGAGAAACCCGGATCGAAAGGGAATCTCTTGTAGATGATTTACTGCGATGGTGGAGGGAATGAGCCTCCGATCGTCGCAGGAAACTGAATGGGCGCTCGAGGTTTTCATCCTCAAACTGAATTGCATGAGGTGCACTGGTGCTACCTCGTGAACGTGATTATTGATGTAAATTAATTATCTCTCTCTTTCTCCGCCGTTGTCGCCACTGTGGCAACAACAGTGTTCTCAACGTCTCTCGGCCGGCTGACGGTGAAACAGCTGATGCGAAGCAGCTGACGTTCAGCTCTGGAGAGGCAAGCGCTGCGCCGATGGACGTACCTAGGTGGCGGCGCACTCCTCGGGGATTTATATGGCTCAAAAAGGACTGCTCGTCCTGGACGGGATATTGTAACGGAGCTTATGGGAAACCAGAGCGACCATCTCGCACCCTGAGAACGATTGTCGGCCTCACAGCTGGAAGCCTAAATTGTAAACTTGTCTCCAGCCCCGTGGGTGGAACGACTCCTATCCCAACAGTTGTCTATGGTAACGGATCCCGGAGTCGCGAAGCAACCGAGGACTCATTTACTCTTCTAAGTGTGGAGGTACAATCAGATCAACGGAGCACGTCCGGGCGACGAATGCTTGGAATCTGCGCGCTATGGAAGGGGCAGCGAAGCGACGATCCAATCATCGGGGATCGAGGGAGTTATGGAGAGAGATCAATAAAACCCCCGGCTCCGCGCTTGGGCGGGCAATCCGGTTTCGACAGTAACTTGGTGTGCTTCTTTGTGTGCCTCCTCCGTAGCGTGGAACCCCCATAGGAATCCCGTGCCCCGGAGTCCCCCGTCGTAGACGTAAGTCTTCTCCGTGTTCCTGGAACTCCCTCGATCGGGATTGGAATTCTACGACCGATGTACCCTTGTTACAAATGGTGGAGATGCGACTTTCCCCCTACAACGTCGCGACAAGCCTTCAAAAGAACTCTTAGGACAAAATACTAGACAAGACAAACAGAACTCAACTAATTTCTTCGAAAGCCCGGAGAAAATTAGAGCGAAACCTAGTTAATCGAGTTGGGCCTAAAAACGCCCACATGTAAACATGCACCGTCACGTTCCACATTCGCGCGCCTCGCAGGGTCAAAGTCGGCAGCCCTTCTAGAACTAGTCAAATACGAATAGATCGAACTGTCCCCCAGAACCCTAGCTCCGGAAGTCCATTTCATAGTCTCCAAGCCCACGCAAAGTGAATGTTGCACTGACCACATGAACCCTGTCCCTTCGTAGACACACACACCGACGCATGAAGATGGCCCCTCTGTCGTCAAGGAAAAATGTGCAGCATTGACCGCCAGGAACACCGGCACCACCAGGACCAGCACCGCAGGAAAACGCTCAAGCAGTCGTCGCAGCCGCGGGACCAGTCGTCCGGGAACCGCGAGCTGGACCGATGGAGGCAGTCGCACCAGCGGTCCATGCAAAACCTACACCGGAACCGCAGACAATCGATGAAGCTCCAGGAAACGAAAATCTGAAGCAACCCATGGCATGCGCGGTGCCGGTGCCGGTTCGTCTGACGCACGAACCTGCGAAATTCCAGCCAAGCGATGATGCCGCACGCTGGATCAAACTCTTCGAGAGGGCCGCGGCGCACAATGCGTGGCAAGAAGACTTCAAACTGCAATCGGCAGAATTGTGCATGACCGGTGTGGCCCTGCAATGGGCAAAAACTCAATCGGATCGCATCAAGACATGGACCGAATGGCGCCAGGCGTTTCTCCGGCGATTTGATAGCGGCAGGATAGCTAAAGCAAAACAGCAACTCCGAAACTTGAGCCGCGGACAAAACGACTCGCTGCTGGATCACCTAGATCGCGTCCAATGGCTGTGCCACCAGGTGAACCCAACAATGCCAGATGACGAAATAGTCGAACATTTCGGAAATACGGTGTCGGAAGAGGAATTTGCACATATCGCAAATAACAACCTTACCGCCGATCTGGAAGGAATCCGACGTATACTCGAAAAACGCCAGAAACAAGCATCCACGCGAAACAGAGCTTCGGAGAGCGTCAGGCCCCGAGTCCTTGCTCCCACGGTGGCGGCCCTCCGCCCCCAACGAAGCAGAAGTTTCGAGTGCAATGAACGCAGCAGAAGCTTCGAACAAGACAGAGGAAACGAAAAACCGAGGTCGGGCGCAGCTACGTCCATCGTACTCTGCGAATCAGCCGCGGGAGCAACGATCCTTCCAACGCCGCCGAAATTCCGGCGGAGACCGCAGGGCGTTCGACGGGCGTCCGATATGTAACTCTTGCGACAGGATCGGACATGTGGGAAAACATTGCCGCGACCTCGCCGACGGTCAGCCAGCCGCAAGAAATCCGCAGAGGATGCGTCCGGTGACACCGCCAAGAAACAGCGCCCGCAGATCACCATCAACCCATGTGGCCTACAGCTATCGAAGGATCTCTCGATCACTGGAGGCACTGATGTTTTCTCGTATCGGAGAAACTCCGGGAGCGATACACACTGATTTATTTGCAATGATAATTGTTGTACTCGACTCGGTTCTTCCGAACCCTGGAATACGTGAATTCCGGGGTCCGAGAAGTAAATGGAGGGATAAGCCCTGTGAGCGTGATCACCGGGTCGAATCTATATTTCGAGAGAGATGTAATTTCAAGATGGGTGCCCCCCGTCAGAATTGATGATTACTTGAAACCTGATACGGCTTGCCACCCCGAGGGCATGTTAGATCACGTCACCGATCGTGTCCGTGTCTACAGCCGGTAGTAGTGGCTGTTTTTGCCCTCTACTGTCGTGCGCTGCGCGACGTCTCTGTGAGCGGCTGTCGGACGGACGGCGCATGCGCGGCGCTTGGCGATTCTTTCCGAATACTATCGCCGACATTTCCCGAGCTTTCGGTCTCCTTATAAGTGATATTGATAATGGTAAATGATAATAACAATATCGTTTGACTTCACTCTGCGATCCCTGCTTGCCGTCGCCGGACCGCCGTTCGGGAAACGGGCACCGCCGACCGGCCTAAGCTGTCCAGGACTGGATCGTTCGGCTATCCAGCATGGCAACATGGTCCCGTGCACCGCATGCGTGCTTGTGAGAAATTGCAAGAGATGCGAAAATTGTGGTCTGGTGCAGAAAGAACACATCAGCCTTAAAGAAGTTAATGACTCCCTCTCAGCAGAACTGCGAGAGGCGAAAGATAAGATCATCGCTGTTATGGTGCTGGAATTTGATTAAAAGAAGGCAAAGCTGACGACGCCGACGTCTCAACGTGCCTGTGGCCGGCTCTGACTGCGCGCTTCTTGGTGCTGTCGTTGGCACCAACACTACTGTGACAATCGCGATGCAAGACCAGCAGATCGAATTAAACAGCTCGCTCAATGAGACGAATTAAAAGTATCGCGAATACCTAGAACAGGAGAAAGCTAGGGGGACACTGGGCGGTCCCGAACACATGGAGACTGAGGCCAGAGAGCCAGAGCCAGAGCCAACGAGCATGGACGTACCTAGGTGGCGGCGCACTCCTCGAGGATTTATTTGGCTTAATCAGGACTGCTCGTCCTGGACGACATATGATGGATATCTTGGATAATAATAATATCCGTAATTATTATCCACCTATTAATATTAGGTGGATATCTTGAATAATAATTACACAATGACTGGGTGTGTGTGTGTGTGTCATGAGCGTGTGCAAGCCTGAACACGCGACGGCAGCTCCGTCCGTGACATTCAGAGAAGGAATCGCCAGTCTGTGGAGGAGATATAACGATGCATGCAGTATTGGAAGATGATGACATCGAAGAAATGTCGTCGATGTTGGAGGAATTCGGTCGGGAAGAGCCAAAGAAAACAATGAAACCCGATCACACAAGCAATGTCGACTTGAATTCGGCGATTCTCGAGTCGCCGCCGAGAGAGTCGGAAGATGAAGGACGTGTCGAGATGAGTGGGAGAAGGAATCCGGTGCGGGCGGCGAAATTCGAAGGCCGATACGGAAAGTAAAATTAGAGGACAATTAATGTATGGTTTAGAGAAAAACATTAGCGAAGAGGTCGAAACAATAATTAGGGCGTAGATATATGAGTACACATAGGTAGAAGGCTTACGAGAGGGCATACTGAGGACAGTATTGTAGGTAGCGTGGACGAGATGTCGCTAGAGGGCGGGTGACGAGAAAAGAGAACGAGAATCCCGATTCAGAAGTAAGGGATCGCATTCGCGTTCGCGGTACGACGAAAGACGGTTCGAGGTCGAAAACGCAGCGAGTGTAAGATTCGAGAACAGTGCCGAGTTGCCATGAACAGCAAGGACAGCGAGAAGAGAACGAGACGGCTCAGGCCCGACATCCAATGGAGGTTCGTCAGGCTGGGTGACGTAGTGATCCCAGGAGCGCGGGTGAACGAGTTGCTCAACAGGCAATTCGACACGGCGCTGGTGGCTGAGCGGATCCGTCGATACCTGTTCGACACAGCGCAAGATCAATCGGGGCTCGAGATGGAAACGAAAACGAGGAACCACGAACGTGTGAGTTTCCATGAACAGAGACGGCGATTCGAGTGCTTCGCCGTCGACGAGACGGACGAAGTCCCCTTCGTGGAGGTCGAGCCGACCGAGCCGACCGAGCCGGCCGTCAGGCCCAAGGGGCTGACTCACTCGCAGGCGCCCTGCGAGAAATGGCCCGAAGATTCGAGAGAGAAACGGGTCCGAGCAAAGGTGGATTTCGAGGAGGAGTACGGGTGCGAGATCGGGCTCCGAGGTCTCGAGGCCGAGTTCGCCAACATCCGCGTCGATCTGCCGTTGGACCTGCGAGTCGAGAGCAAACAGAGCGAGGACCTCGAGGAGGACAAGTCGGAGGAGGCGTGTGGAGGCGTCGAGGAAACCGTGGTCAAAAAGGAGGGCGTCGAGGTTCACGAGGCGGTCTACCCGCGAGTGCAGCGGTTCCGAGACACGAGAAAACGGATCGAGTCGCAAAGTTGCACGAGCTGCTGGTCGCCTGATCACCGAGCCGGCGAGGTCTTCTGTCGGGCTCCGAGAGAAACCTGCTATTATTGTAAACAGGTCGTACACTTCTCGAGGATGTGCGCGCAAAAAGAACGCGACGTGTGCTATCAGTGTGACGAGTACGGCCATCTAAGAAGAGAGTGCGACCAGTGGCACGAGCTCATTAAACCTTTGTACGTGTACTCATTAGGTCGAGAAAACTTAGAGGGGCGAGATGGTTAAATGAGGACATTTAGCGCGGTAGCAATGGCCGACTGTGGGGAGCGAGTAAGGCACATTTTCACTCAATACACAGTCAGCGCACGTACGTGCATGTACAACCACGTCGAGGGGAGTCGATGCTGATCCGACCAGTGATAGCGTCTGAGACTCGAGAATAAACAAGTCTTCTCACGTCGTCTGCTACTGCTACATAATCACGTGTTTCCACGCCTCGTGGTTGCTTTTCACCGGTTTCCGAGGATTCCTGTGCCCGATTCCCCGATATTGAGTAGTGTGCCCTCGACTGGCGATCCGGCTTAGCGGTTTTGGCGCGCTTGCTCCGCGAGCTCCGGCGTTACATCCCCTTACCCCCGTCACCCATCCCTAAGCCTAACTGCCATACATCGCTCCCATCACCGCTCAACCTGTTCGCGGTACTCTGACCGTCACGGTATTCATTTCAATCTCGTCTCCGGGATTTTCCGACGCACCTATACCTGCTGATTTTGTTACTCTCGGTTCGGCACTCAACTTACGTCCCCAGTCTCCTTCCATCGATACCGATCCCGATCATCTGTTTTCGTCATGGCTGACCTATGCTCCATGTGCTCTCGGAACTCGGGCGACCCGATCTTCTGTTGTACTTTCGGATGCGGTCGAGTCTTCCATAAGACTTGTCTCCC